ATCTTGCCTTTAAAGGCACAATCATCCGTTTTCATTCAGAATCAGCATTTTCAAGAGCCAATGATTGAATTAATATTTGCCTGGATTCTGGATTTGATACAGTTTGTTCTATTTACAGCTGAAGTCAATTTTTGCAAAAAAGTCAGTGAAGGCCTCTTTTGGGCTTTGTACAATTTTAGTAAATGACCCAGACCTCTGTCCTGATTCTTCAACCTTGTCCCAAGCATTCAGAGCTGCTCAATGACACAAGACCAAGGTATGATTGTTAAAATCACTCTGCCTTTGTAATCAGCATATTGACTCTCATCTAATACGGATCTTGGGAAATATCGAAACCTCTCACCCTATATCATTGTTCTATGGCACTAGATTCCTCTTCCTACCATGTTATCCTCTGTACCTGAGGGCCAGCTTCCAATATTACTTTGACCATACCTTTCTAGTCTTGGGGACGATTCTGTTCTGAGTTGCCCATGGATTTAACATCTGCTTCACATTTGGTGAATGCATACTATATGAAATGAACATTTCCTTTAATCTCCTCAAATCTATATATGTATAGGATTCCACTTAACTTCTCCATAACCTTGGGGATACCTGTTGTAGCAAGTGGTAAGACACTGAGGTAATTAACATTTTAGTCAATGGCTAAGAAAGCCAGTGTGGCTAAGAAGAGTAGGTGGATGACAGAATATGTAACATTATTGAACCAATTCAGAAGACCTCGTAGGGTGCTTTTGCTCTGAATGGTTTATGTCTTAGTTAGCTTAGTCAACTTGACATGGCCTAGAGTTATCTGAGAAGGGCAACTGGGCTGTGACATGTGTATAGGAGATTTTCTTACTATTAATTGATATGGAAGGGCCCGGACCACTGTGAATGGAATCATCTTTAGGCACTAATCCTGGACTGGATATGAGAGCTAGTTAAGTGTGAGGACCTTAGAGAGAATGCCTGCCAACAGTGTTCTTTGATGGTTTCTACTTCAAGTTCCTGCTGAAATTTCTGCCCTGACTTCTCTAATTTATGGATTGTGACCTGGAAGTACAAGTCAAAATAAACCCTTTCCTCCCCACATTGATTTTGTTAGAGTATGTTATCTCGTCAACAGAAATAGAAATTGGTGCCAGGAAAGTAGGAAAGTGAGGTGCAGCTGTGATGGACTTGACCATGTGGTTTTTTTTGTTTGTTTGATATTTTTGTTTTATGTTTGAAATGATATTGTTGGAGTATTAGGGAAAATTTTGGTGCCTAAGAGTTAAAGCCATTGATTATGTAGAGTTTGATGAGCAATTGCTATAGGAATTTGAAAGACTATGTTGAGGAAAAAGTGGTCTCAGGAGGCCTAGTTCAGGTTTGAGCAATGCTAAATTTAGAACTGGCCTGGTCATTCTTATGAGATCATTACTAAGAGCTTGTTGTTTCTGGTCAGGTGAAGATTCAGCTAACATAATTGATGTAAACATCTTCTGCACTTCAATGGGAGAACAGGGACACATTTGCTCAGGACACACGTGTCTACAGCACACAGAAGCTGTGGTCTAAAGAAGAAAACTGAACTTGACAACGGGAAAGCATCACTCACACGGTACTGGCTTTGAAGGGGATGAAAGTTGCCAGATTGAAGGGGTCATGGAAAGAAGCTAAAACTTGGCACAGTTTGGCATGATGGACATATCTAAGAAACACCAAGAGAGGACATTGGTGAAGGTTCAACCTCTGTTTCAATCGAGACCCCAGGTACTGGAGATGCTGGGACCATGGATTGTCTACCAAGGGCAGTAGCAGGAGTAGAGTGAAGCCAGCCTGAGCCTATATAACAACATGTGGATGAGACACAGGTCTCTGGGTAGCTTTGGAGCCTGCCCTGGAACTCTCTCTCTGTAGACTATCATGGCCTCAAACACACAGAGATCCACCTGCCTCAGCCTCCTAAGGGCGGGGGTTAAAGCCTTCACCACCACCAACAGCTCATTTGTACCTTTTTTTTTAAAATAAGAGGTAACTTTTCATTTTCTTTATTTTGGCTTATTAAAACAAAAATATGTATAGACCTTCATAATGGTAAGTTATATTTCTAGTTTCCTAGATGGAACTATGTAGGGATAAATAATTTATATTACTTTACCTGATCTTAAGAAATGCTATATATTATATGTGAGATGAATTCATTAGATTTCTTAAAAAAGAAAAGAAAAGAAACCAAACCCTGATCACTTTTGGCAATGGAGGATTTGTGCAAGGGTGTGTTGTGATTAAGTTACCCAAAGATATTTTCTCTTGAGCTATAGTGTTGCTCAAGGTACTTCCAAGAAGAAAGGAAATATAAAGGCAGGTCTTTTTTTTTTTTTTTTTTTGGTTTCATGAGACAGGGTTTCTCTGTATTGTTTTGGAGACTTTTGGTCCAGCCTGGCCTCAAACTCACAGAGATCTGCCTGCCTCTGCCTCCCCAGTGCTAGGATTAAAGGCGTGTTTCACCACCTCCTGGCTAAAGGCAGGTCTTATGGGAAACCAGAATCATCCTAAAGTCTAATGACCGGTATTCTCTTAATTCATAAGACTTGTTGATTTCCCAGAAGGAAAGGATGTGATTGGGTTCGTACATTCCTCCTCAAATCGGAACAAAAATGGCTTGAATTTTGTGCTGGTGTAACTCAGGTGAGATGTATCTTCTTTGTGTTTTTAGTTTTTTCAAAAGTCTGAACTGTTGTACGCCAGCAAGATTGATCTCTCAAAACCACCAGTAGCCATAGCACCATCCACAAAACACTTCTATTTAGAATAAATGTATTTTATTCTGAATATAAAGCCTACATGGGACTTTGTCACAACTTTTTGAGAGCTGAGTTTATATGCTGTGACTACTTAGCGGTATAAACATCCGTGGAGACCTGAATTTTGTGTTCATATATTCTATTAGTGAGTAATTAGCTGCACTCTCTTGAACTGTTAACTCATAATTTCATCCTTTGTAATAATAGCACCACCTTAAATTTCTGATTTCATTTAGAATATATGTTACTTTGACTGATTATAGGTCAGTTTTATGTCTTTCTCTCTCTCTCTCTCTCACGCTCTCTCTCTTTTTTTTTTTTTTTTTTTTGGTTCTTCGAGACAGGGTTTCTCTGTATTGTTTTTGAGGCAGTCCTGGAGCTCCCTTTGTAGAACAGGCTCGCCTGGTACTCACAGAGATTTGGCCTGCCTCTGCCTTCCTGCCTCTGCTGGGATTAAAGGTGTTGCCATCAAGGCCTGGCTATGTTTCTATTTTCAATGGACTTTCACTTTGAAACTTAAACAAAGCCACCCTATTTTTTGAAAACATCATGTGAATACATATTTAGTCCTTAGATACTCCACTACTGGGGCAGAGAGGAGGCTCAGTGGGGAAAGTGACTGCCACACAAGTGTGAGGACCAGAGTTTGCATCCCAGTCTTATTAACATTGAGCAGGCCCAGCAACATGCCTGGATCCCAAGCTCAAGAGGCAACAGCGGGTAAGATCTGTGGAGCAGGCTGGCTAGCCACATGACATAAAGGAGTTCTTGTTCCCTTGGAAACAGCTGGTTGCCAAGGGATGATGCGTCTGCTCCTTTATGACACAATTTCCGTGTGAGGGACATAACCTCAGTGTGAGGGACATAACCTCAGTGCGAGGGATAAATTCCCTAACCCAGGGTTCAGCGGTTGCTAGATACAGACTAGTTTTAAGCTTCTGGTGATGGCTACCCTTATGAGGATTGCTATAAAGAAAGCGACATAAAGGTAAGCTGTCTTATTTAGTCTTTCTGCCTTTAGCCTTGAAGGAGAACAAGTAGGTAGGTCACTAGAAGGTTTGGTAGGTGTGACTAATTTCTAGGTAGACGTCCCAGGTCCAGGTAATCAGGTGACCCAATGTGAAGGAGATTCCAAACAAAATGACATCCAAAGCAACCCTTCACTGCAGCTTCTCTACATAGTAATAGACCATGAGACATTCCCAGTGTCTTCTGGTCTCATTCAGAGAAAAGGACACCTTTCTTACAATGGCCTTCAGAATTCAGTCTGGCCTTCTGTCACCCATGTGAGTTCATGTCTAATCTCCCTCTCACCCATCCCATTCTTCATTGGCCACCTTTGTGTCATGCTCTCCCTCTAGGGCACCACTCACAGTGGACTTTGGATCTGTTGCTGACCTCATTCACACTCACAGCTCACTGCTTCATCTTCTTCAAGCCTTTGCTGAAATGCTATTTCTCAGCCAAGGACCTGAGTGAAAAATTACATATATGAATAATGGAAGCGTGTGACAGGAAGTTACAATTGAACAGGTGTCATAAGAGAGAGCAGTAACTCCACAGATTTGCCCTTCTAAGAGATGTCATGGCCCAGCTGACAGTGTGCAATGTGTGTATTCCTTATACATGAGACAGACAGGGATGTGATTGGTGATTACTAATGGGAAACACAGAAATAATCTTTCAATGTAGGAGGTGATCATGACCATCTGTAGTACAAAGAGGAGACTAATTGCAAGAGTTGACCTCCTGTGCCACTGAGAAATTTGTGGCCATTATAAACAGGAAACCTATGAGCTATCCTGGACTTATGCCTCCTAGGCAATCAGAATCAACAGATAATCACCCAGTTCTGGCAGTTTAGAACACTTCATTGTAGATTTAGATCTACACAAGGTGTTGGTAACTGAGAAAATAACTCCTCCCCCCCCACTCTTTCAATTTCTTTATTGATGTGATGAGTTGTCTAACCTCATATTCTCAATTCCTGCTGTGATTACAGGGCAGTATAGACTTGATTTAAATTGGCACAATAATGTTTGAAATATAGGCATCTCTAAATCACTGGAAACATCCTTGGTGTCTGACAGACATAAGCTTTTTAGTTTCTACTTTGTCATATATGTATGTCCACTTAGCACCACTTTTATATTAAATGTATCTTTAGTTTTTACCTGCTAATTTTTCTGTCCAAATGTTAAAACAAAGAAATGATCCATCTGAGACACACTCCATATGAGGGAGGACAAACAGTAGTATACAATTTGTAAGCAAGGCTCAACTCAGTCTAACAAGTTTACTGAGCACAAAATTTCACACTATTCATTTCAGTGAGTGTAGATTGGTTTGTTGTCAACTTATTTCATGAATTGCACTTTCTTAAGAGAAAGGTTCCCAAGGAGAAGACTCCATGGGGTTGCAGTGTCTCTGCCTTGCTTCAGGGAACAAAGAGCTGGGAGAAGCCTGGGTCAGCAGCAGTTGTTCTTGTAGGAGAACTTGGTGGGGCAGGAACTGCTTGCCTTCCAGGTGTGAACGTGGGGACCAAGATGGTGCCCTTGTGTCTGAACAGATCCTTCCTCTCCACCCTGTCCCTGCCAGGCCTGCAGGTGCTATGGAGGACAAGGAGAGAAGTAGGAAGATTGAATATGGAAGAGCTATTGCAGCAGCTTGGCGGCTTAGCCGGGCCACAGACGCGATGGAGGAGGAGGAGAGACAGAGGAAGATTGAATATGGAAGAGCAATTGTAGAAGTGTGGCGGCTTAGCCAGCCCTCAGACGCAATGGAGGACAAGGAGAGAAGGAGGAAGATTGAATATGCAAGAGCAAAGGTGGGAGCTCAGCAGCCTGGAGGCTGTGTCCGGGGGTGGGCCGGGGCGGGAGGCGGGGCCGCAGGGCTGGGTCTTGGGCTGGAAAGAGCCGCCCCTTCTGGCCTCAGCAGGAGACCTGATGCCTGCACCACCAGTCTCCTTTCTCCTGGGTGCCACAAAAAACCCTCTCAGCCTCCCCCTCCCCAGAAACTGCCACGGAATTGCGTTGCAGCCTCTGCCCTTTCACTTCCTATAGGGAGCTTTGAGCTTTCTGAGTTCATGTTTAGGAATTTCTTTACTCCGAGGGACACCGTGCTCTGATCACCAGCCTGCTGTGTTTAGGTGTCAGGCTGGCACTCTTGGGTGTGTGTGATTGGCCTGTGACAGCTGCCTCCCCAGCGGAGTGGCTTGAGTGTGCCACAAGTGCCAGCTGTCATCTTGGCTGTGGGGGCGTTTTTAGAATGGTTCTCCTCCTCCTCCTCTTCTTATTTTGTATATTTGTGTAGAAGGTCTTTGCCACGGCACGTGACCTTTTGTAGTGTGTGGAATGGAACTTCTGAACACCGAAAATTCTATAAAGTAAACAGCACCTGTAGAATTGATGTTAATGTTGGTGAGTTCAGTTTTATGTGGTCATGTGTGTATGGCAAGAAAAGAATTCTATGGAGGTGTCTTTCATTGGGCTGAATGAATATTTCACATGTGAATTTAATGTAATGATTTCTTCCTGAGCTTTGTGCTTACTTTTGTCCTCCTTGCTTCCTAAAATGCAGTTACCTTGGAGATATTATGTTTTCATAGGTGGGGACAATTAAGTTATGTTTTAAGCTGTTTTTCCTATTGTAGTGGCTGGCTTTGCGTCAAGTTGACACAAGCTACAGTCATCCAAGAGGAGGGAGCCTCAATTGAAAAAATGTCTGCTTAAGTTCTGGCTATAGGCAAGCCCATGGCAAGTTGTTCTTAGAGATTGATTGGGGTGAACCCAGCCCATTGTGGGCTGTGCCCTTTGGGCTGTTGTCCTGGGCTGTTTAAGGTGGAGCACTCCATGTGGAGCGAGCCAGTGAGCAGCACCAAGGACCCTGCACCAGCTCCTCTTTCAGGTTCCTGCCCTGTGTGAGTTTGTCCTGACTTCCTTTGATGATGACTGTGATATGGGAATAGAAGCCAAATAAAGCCTTTCCAAGTTGCTTTGGTCACGGTGTTTCATCATAGCAATAGTCCCCCTAAGTAAGACATCTATTTCCTTTTTTCTTCTCTCACATTAACAGAGGAGAGCAGGTCAGTAATGAATGAAGGGATACTGCAGAGATATGGTGTTACATGCTCAGGATTGGTTTCTTACAGAATATGTGCAGGAGCTAACTTTGTATCTCTAGAATATGTTTAGCTGACTTTCCCATAAGCACCCTCTATGTAGGGTCTAGATTTGAATGTGTGTGTAGCATTCTATGTATAAATGGAGGAACAGGGGAATCAGCATCTTTAGAAGCCCGGCTTTGCTTACCATTGTGCAATCAGAGAAAGTGAGCACCTTTCGTGTATCGAGGGAATTGAAGATGGAGTGTGCATCCCTTTGCAAACATGGAGACTTCGATTAGAAAGCATTTTTCCTGTCCTTACTCCCGCCTCCCCTTCTTTCTTTTTTAGCCATCTTAGACCATAGTGCAGGATAGCCTTGAGCTCAATGTGTAATCTAAGCTGGCTTCAGAAAAGGATGATATTCGTGTACTGGATTTAAGTTGGTGTAAATCATTTCACAACATATACTATAATGTATACACGAGGAGCTGCTTCTACAATGATAATTTTTGTGTTCTACATAAATGAAAATTGTCAGTGCAACAATTTATCAAACAATTTAAAAATAAAGAAGTTTTGAAGGCTTAAAGTCTTAGTTTTGGTTTTCTTCAGTGTGATTATATTGGAGCACAAATTTAAGTAGTGGTGGTGAATATTTGTTTCATAGAAAATAAATTCTATAAAAAGGCAAATTCAGGCTGGTAAGATGGCTCTGTTTGCAAAGTGGTTGCTTGTGCAAGCAAAGATCATGTCCCCGACATCCATATAAGAAGCTAGGCCTGGTGATGTGAGTCTGTAATCAGTTCCTGTCCTAGAGACAGGATGATGCCTGGAACTTGCTGGCCAGCCTACCTAGCCAACACTAGGGAGTTCCTGCTTCAGTGGTGAGTGATACAGGATGGTACCTGCAGTCAACCTCTGGCCTCCAATACACACACTCAGGCAATCACACCTGCACACACATGTACAGACACTCACACACTACTCACAAGCATACTCAGAGAAATTAAATATAGGAGAAAAAACAGTAGTTCATGTTGGGAAATACAACAAAGTTGTTACAACTTTTTTAAAGATTTCATTATGGCTGTGAGTATAGAGTTACTAAAATGCAAGCTAGATATAATTCTTGATGTTTGAAGCCTGAATGAAGACTGCTGTGTCTCTATTAAGAAGAGGTGTGATGATTTTCTTATCATAATAAGTATACTAGGATACAGTTTTTTAGGCACTATTCTGCCATAAGTATTGTCATTAGTGGTTAGCATCAATATTTTTAATAAGGGTTCACTATACTTTATCCATTATTGTTTTATACATGGGATGGTAATTCTGACTAGATGATGGTATTTTATGTGTCCTGGTCCAATGTTGGACACATTGTATAATATCAAAAAAGTCTTATTTTACCATTCACATTTTTCTTTCTGCCATGGCAGCTGAAAGGGTTTGCTGCTCTTATGTCCCCAACTGTTTTGGTACTCATCCATTTCTCTCATAACTTTCATCAGTGTTTAACATTTTAGTGATAGCTGTGCACTTGTTTTAATTTTTGTTTGGTAAGCTTTTAAAGAGATATCGCAAGTGCAAGAGGTTCCCAGGATTAAACATCTCTTTTAAAAATAAACAAGAAGCCGGGCGTTGGTGGCGCACGCCTTTAATCCCAGCACTTGGGAGGCAGAGGCAGGCGGATCTCTGTGAATTTGAGGCCAGCTTGGTCTACAAGAGCTAGTTCCAGGACAGCCTCCAAAGTCACAGAGAAACCCTGTCTCAAAAAACCAAAAAAATAAAAAATAAAAATAAACAAGAAAGGTGCCCTGCTGTGGATGGTAAGTAAATTGTGTGAATAGGTGGCACTAGGCTATGGGACTCCTGAGGGTGATATAGAAATGATTGAGAGCTGGAAAGTAGCAGTCTCTGGAATTTAGATCATTGCCAATGTTTCCTTTTTAGATGAGGCTACAAACCACAAATAGAGCTATATCTTTTGGCAAAAGCTCATTATCTTTAGTGTGAAGATGAAGTCCCAGAAAATCCATGAAGGATGATGCACTTGACCTCCTTGTGTGTGTCATGCTTTGAGACACTTTAAAGACACGGATAATACTCTGAGATCCTGCCTCTCTCTCCATCTTCTGACTCTGGGCTGATTTTCTTTCTTTCAGACATTTTCATTTCTTAGTCCTGATTCAGAAATATTCAGTTTTTTTGCAGTTCAATAGTAATTCCTCTATTAAGGGCAGGATAAGTATCCTTTGATTTGTCATTCATTTTTAGTGATAGTTTGAGTTTAATAAAATACCCAGAGCTTTAATAATGATAAAAAATATTAGATGATAATGTTGCTTTCTCCCCCCCCCATAGCTTGCTCAGTATCGACAAAGAATAGCCCAATTTGATGGGCAGACTACTAAGAAGAGTAAAAAAGTTTCAATCTGTAAAGAAGATGAACACAGCTCAAATATTAATGAACATGCAGATGAGGTGTTTAAGAATGTTTCTCAAGGTGTAGAGACTAATGGGAATCCTGATTGCACCGAACTGATATTATTTCCCAGTGGACAAGCAAACAAGCACAATCAGGTCTTAGCTGAGGTGAGTGCTTCCAGATTTTCAGCATAGTTCTTAGTGGAACATCAGTGTAATGAGAGTGGCCATCAGTTCAATTTGCAGTTTAATTATGACTTTTGTCCCTTCTTGCAAATTTCAACCGTATGGTAGTAGCTAGACATACAATATTTAATAACTTCTGATAGAGGCCTGTGGGCTTCATGCAACAGATATTTATTGGGCATTCACAATGCAAAGATGAGGAAGGCAGATACAAAGAAACCACTGTACATCTATCAGACCCATGCCAGCAACAGTGAACCTGCTGCTCAGAGTACAGAGGATGAGATAGCCAGCCTTGTGTGTGCTACTTGGGTAGCTTTGGAAGGGTAATATTGGAAGAATGAGTGGGAATCATCGAGAGGTTAACAAAAAAGGAAGGGAAGCAAACTGTGCAGAAATAAAGGCATTTGCAAAGATAAAAAGCAGTATGCTGTGTGATCTTGAAATAGGAGATCGATTCCATATGGATTCCAAAGGGAAGGGGTAAGGTGGTGGTAATTTTGAGGTTTTGGAAATGGTGCTCAGGCCAGCTCCCCTAGAAATGCTCAATTAATCCTAATTCCCCAAGTCCCCTCCCCCTTGTTTAATGGTGCAACTTTCTGAAATGGTTTAATTAGAATGAATTAAAATTGTTGGTAGGTGATTGGCTCACCAACCAAATGAGAAATAGAGGGATGGGTTACTCAGGAGAGTATTAGGAGGATGGATATTATTTTAATTTTGTGCTACAGTATATTTATGTAGAAATAAGATTAGAATAGATAGGGACTGTACTAGCAAGGGTTTCTATTTCTGTGACAAAATACCGCACCCCAGAAGCAGGGTGGGGAGGAAAGTGTGTCTTCGACTTATGCTGCCACATTTCTGTGCATCCCTGAGGAAGTTAGGACAGGAACTCAAAGAGGACAGCAGCTGATGCAGAGGCCATGGAGGTGCTGCTTACTGGTTTGCTACCCATGGTTTGTTCAGCCTCTCTTCATACATGGGAAACTTCAGCACATGGAGACTGAAGTGGAATGTAGTTTCATTTCTGCTATTGTAATAAATACCCCAATAGAAGCATA